CCACGTCCGCAGGGATGCGGCTGAGCGAGCTGCGCCTCCCGCCGACACCGGCCCGGGCCGCGGGGTCCTGCCCGCAGCCGCCCCGGTGCCCCGTGGTGCCCCGTGGCTGGGGGGGAGCCCGATGAGAGCAGGGACCCCCGGGGCCGGGCAGTCTGTACATACCCATATAGATCTATACATACTGTACAGAGAGCGACTACAGAGATATATCTATACTGTACCATAGGCAGCGGCGCCGGCCCCGGGCTGGCTTGTACATAGTCGAACGTGTTGGATTTTCCTCGTCTTCTGTGAAGACCTGACCTATGCAAACGCACAGACACTTTTTGGGGAAAAACAAAACAAAACAAAACATTCTCGATCTTTTTTTCAAGTGCTTTGGCTGGTGATTTTCATATTCTGCTCTTAGTCTATAAAAAAAATAATAAAAGGATAAAAAAAGGGATCCATGTCACGGTGGCGTGCAGCACTCCCAGCCCTCGGAGGGGCTCAGGCCCTCCCGGGGGGGCTCCTGCCGGGACAGGCGTTGAGGAGAGGGCTGACCTGCACCGTGCCACCCGCCCTGCCAGGCACGACAGCTCCAGCTCGGTACCGCTGGCAAGGGGATGCGGGGCGCTCCCCTGGGCTGGCTCTGCTCCCCTCCGACCCCCCAGCGCCGACAGGGAGCGACTGGCAGGGACTTCCCACAGGAACGCAGCGTGGACAGCAGCAGCGCTTGAAGGTAAGGCCAGCGCGGGGGGGGGCTTGACTCGCAGCCCTGGGGGTGCTTGGGGGGCGTTTGGGAGCAGCAGGGGCATGAGGGCCTTCCTTGCCATCCTCAGCAGCTGCACAGGGTGAGCAGACACGGAGCGCTGGCAACCCCATGGGAACTCCGGCATCACCCCCTGGCGCGTCTGGCTCTGCCGGGCATGCCGGCTCCTGCCTGTTTTGGGGGGATCTGGCACACGCCGGCGGCTCCTGCAGGATGGGGGACGCCGTCATCTCCCCCCCAGTGCCTCCAGCCAAGGGGATGTGGGGCTGTGCCTGGGGATGGGATCACACCTAAAGGAGGCTGTTGCTGTGGCACCCAGACCCCCACAGCCCCCACAGCCACAGGCGAGCAGCCATGGGCTCCTCACCCTGCACTGCTGGGCTGGGGGGGCCCAGTGCCTCCAGGGAGGGGCAGAAACTCTCCCCAAAGAGCAGCAAGGGATGAGGGGCTGCGGCCCCGCTCCCGGTGTGGATTCCTGGGGAAGGGGGTCCTCACAGCCCCGGAGAGCAGGGCAGCCGCTCTCCCCCACCCAGCAGGCACTGCTGGGCGGCGGCTGGGTGTCCCGCCGGCCCGGGCTTGTCCGGGTGCGGGAAGAGCCGGCGAACCCGTCAGACGGGTTCTGGGAGCCCTCCCAGCAGGCGCTGGGTTCCCCACGTCCCCCCCTCGAGGTCTGACAGGCCTGGGCCGACATGGGGCTGAGGTCCCTGCCATGGACCCCCGGGAGGGGTCTTGAAGTGCTGCTGACAGCTCTCTGCTGACCCAGGGCAAGGTGGGCATGGTGTGACTGGGGCAGCAGCACCGCCACTGCCAAGGGCCAGATCCGGCCATGTGCTGATTGCCAGGGACTGGCCACAGCAGCTGTCCCAGTGTGGCACCATGCTGGTGGCACGTGGCACAGTGAGCATCACACAGCTTAGGTGGCCAGTGCCCTCGGGGGGTGCGAGAACTGGAGTCATTGCCCTGGCACAGAGAGCTCTGCCTGCAGGATCCCTCCTGCCACTTGCCTCGACCCTGGCACTGCTGCTTGTGTGTGCCTGGCACCACCGATGGCTCGGTGGGCACCAGCCACCTGGCTCAGGTCTGCTTCATGCCCTAGGACTGAGCACAGTGGGACAACCCAGAGCCACCAGGAGTCTTCTGGATTGCTGGTAAAGGGGATTCCCAGGCTCAGCTGGCCCAAGTCAAGTGGGGGCCCTTGTGCTGAGGTTTGGGTGCCCCTTGGGTATTTTGGGGTTTCACAGCCTTGGCAGCAGATCCAGGCAGGAGATACATGCCAGGAGCAGTCGTGTGGCACGAGGCTCTGCCTCACCACAGGGCAGCTCCCCTGCCCAGTCAGGGCTCTCTGGCCAAAGGCATGAGCTCCTGGCACAGCTGGACAGCCCTGGGGCTGCGGCTCTGCCCCCACCAGGCTGGCACCAGGCCATGCCTACCTGCCAGGCTGCACGCAGCTGGCACTGCACGTCACCGCGGCCTTCGCTCCCGGCCACAAACTGGACGGCTCCTCTTCCTCCCCCAGCCTCGCACAGGTGACGTCAGCCCAGCCAGGGGCCGGGGCACTCCCGGGTGTCCCCAGCCAAGAAACCATAAACACTTTGTCACGAGTTCCACGGCCTCTGGCCTGCCCCACACGGAGCACCAGCGATGTTTACAGCACGAAACGGCTTCACCTTTGTCCCGCCGTCATGGGCACAATCACAGCCCATTGTCACCTGCTCCCAGGTCCCATGGCCATGACCATGTGCGCCATGTGTGCACCACCACTGGCACTCCCAGTGCCACTGTGGGTACTCACCCACCCTACCCGGGGTGCTGCCCACCCTGTGCCCCACTCTTGTGTCCCAGGGGAGGTAATGGGGCACCTCTAGCCCCAGCTTGTCCCTCAGACTGTCGCCAGAAGGGGACATGAGCTTGTCTTTCCACTCCTCCGCCAGTGCTCTGGGCCAGGCATGGTGGTGACACTGGTTCTTGGTGTGTCCACATGGCCTCACTCCCAGCCCCTTCCCCGTGTCCTGGTGGCCCAGTTCCAGGGCTGGGCCCATGGCGGATGGGACAGGGGAGCCCCTTGGCCAGCTATGGTGGGTACCACTTCCCAGCGCCACAGGATGGGTCCAGCGTGATGCCCCAGGAGGTTTTTATGCCCCTGGCAGGCCCAGCACAAGGCTCAAGCACCAGGGGCTGCCCAGCCCTCCCCATGTCACCGCTCCCTGCCTTGGTTTCCCCAGGCACAGTTTGTCCCTGATGTGGAAGGGGCAGTACCAGGGCGATGCCGGGACCATGGGATTGGCTCCCACCACTCTCTGGCTGCACCCATCCCCGTGGCCTGCACGTGCCATGCTCCAGCTCTGGCATCCCAGGGGTGTTCCCAGGAGGTGCTCCCCTGTACAAGCCACGGCAGCGCCGGCATCCCGGGAGCAGAGGCCTCGCACTGTCATTATGGATGATGTCAGGCCTGGCCACAGCCAGGGAGGATGAGAGCAAAGCAGCCAGTCCCCCTCCCTGGGAGCAAGGGTGTGGGGAGAGAGGCTGGGATGCAGGTGGGATGTGGGGCACTCAGCCCCACGGCCTGGGCCCATAGGATGCCTTGGCTGCGGGAGCCACAGGCGCTCTCGGGTTGCGGTGCCGGCGCCTGCCGGAGCCCCTGCCGCGTGCCAGGGGAGCACTCCGCGCCCGCTGCGGCACAGGGCATGCAACATTACCCACAATCAATGGATCATTATGGAATAAACAAGAGGAAAGTTGTTTTGCAAATGCGGCTGAGTTATCGCTTCACAACACGCGGCGAAGCGTCGCGCGCCGTCCAGGACACGGATGGATCCGTGTCAGAGCAAATGGGAGCCGACAGCGAGGCACCGTGCTCCCGCCAGGCAGTGGCAGCGTGCCCACTGTGCCCACCCCGGCTCTGCACCCACAGCCGCCTGTCCTGCACCTACAGCTCCACATCCTGCACCCACAGCCCCCCATCCTGCACCTACAGCTCCAAATCCTTCACCCACAGCCCCCAGTGTGCACCCACAGCCCCCAGTGTGCACCCACAGCCCCCAGTGTGTATCCACAGCCCCCAGTGTGCACCCACAGCCCCCAGTGTGCACCCACAGCCGCCTGTCCTGCACCTACAGCCCACAGTACCTACACCTACCACCTACACCCTACCACCTACAGCCCCCCATCCTGCACCCACAGCCCCCCATCTTGCACCCACAGCCCCCATCCTACACCCTCAATCAGACCTCC